TTATTATTATTGTTTTAATCATTTAATAATCATAACATTACCAAAAAAAAACACCAATATCACCACTCAAACCCATTATTATTTTTATTATTATTATTTTAATCATTTAATAATAATTACATTACAAAAAAATAACTACATACCTCACTCGAACCCATGCCCTTTAAGTTCCTTATCTACTACGACACAATATTCATTTTCTTTTAAAATGTTGTGTTTTATATATATATAATAATTGTTTTGTTTTTGCTTAGAATAATATTGTCGTCTCTTGAAGAAACGATCAAGCGTGGTTTTCGAAATCCGACCAAACATGTCATCTCTTGGAGAGACGACCAAACCTTATTTTTTTTAAAAAAAAATTAATGTGGCTCTTTATTAACGTGGCGCTTAGAGCTGGTCATCTCTGGAAGAGACAACTTGCTATTTTCAAAATATTATTTTTAAAATAATTTTGAAAGTGTCATATTTTTGTAATTATTTTCAAAAATAGCATTATTAAAAGAAATCCAAATTATAAATATCGGGTGTTTTTAATAATTCAATTTTGATTTCTCTTTTGCTCTTAATTAATAAGAGTTGAATTTTATTATTCTGGTGTTGCATAAATCACAAAAGTGCATTATTATTTTATGATTTTAGGGAAAAGAATACAATATTCCAAAATAGAGTTTTTTTCTTTTGGAGGATTAGATGTTCTCTGACTTTAACCTATTAAATTAGTTGAAGAGGCCAAAATGAGCATAGGTTAACTGGCATATATATTCGATCCTCACCTCCATATGTGTACTAAAAAAATTAATTGAGGAAAGTAGATATGGTATTATATATTTTAAAATATGAAGGGAAAAAAGATAAATAAAAAGACCAAAAAAGAAAAAAAAAGTAACTTTTTAAAAGTTAGTAACAAATTAAATGGAATCAGTTTTTTTTTTTTCCCATAAATATATGATATTGAAAAGATATGGTACATTCCCTTTTAAGTTGTATTTTTGTTCAATCTTTGACTACAAATAAAGAGTTTGGAAAAGTCAAGAGGTCTTTGAAATATTTCATTACTTATGGTAGAGTTTGTAAGGATCTGTTTTATAATATCTTTTGTTTCTAATTAATTCTAGTAATTGAGAAACATATATGTCATCGATGAGCCAGAAGGTGCTTGAAATATTTAATTGCTTACGGTAATTAGTTATAATATGTTTGATAATATTTTTTGTTTCTAATTTTCAGTTATGGAGAAGAATACGTGTGTTTCTATTTTCACATTTTATCGTGGGATTAATACAAATAAATTTGTTAATAAGTTGGAGTATTTTCATAGTTCAACTAGATTATTAGTTTGTGGGTTGAATCTCAACTGCTTTTCCATTGGTTCAATTTTGTTTGATTTACTACATTGTCCTCGAGGCCATTTCTTAATTCAATTATCCCAACCTGAGGAATCCCCACACACCTCCATTTTCAAGTCCCTAGATTAGATTAGGTTAAACTCCAAAATATTGCCAAATTTAACAAAATTGATCCTCAAAAAAAAGAAATCTTTTGAGTTCGTTCATTAAACAAGACTTGGTAATTAATGTTTCTATTATTAGAAGTGCAATCTGAATAATAATCGGTAAAAACAAACAAACAAACAAACCCATCTATTTTTAGCTTCAATCCCATCCTTTATTTACATGCTCTCCTCCAAATCCAATAGCTTCCACCACCTCTCCCTCCAAAAAAAAAAAACAAAACAAAACCCCAAACAAAATAAATAAAAGGCATCCATGAAGGCGAATATTTCAGGTGCGATGTTGGTGGTGGTTTGGCTGAGCGTGGCGGCGGCGGCGGAGGCGATCAGGCCGGGGAAGCCGGACATGGGCCTAATCGAACAAACGTGCAGCCAAACGCAGCACCCGGGGCTGTGCCTGAGCTCGCTGAAGTCGGACCCGAACAGCTTCCCGGCGGACAAGACGGGGCTGGCGCTGGTGGCGCTGCGGCTGGTGTCGTCCAACGCGTCCGACATATCGGAAGGGATCAAGGTGATGCTGAACGACACTCGGCTGGCGGACCAGCCCGGGGTCCAGCAGGGCCTCTACGATTGCCTCGACGAGTACCTGGACGCGTCACAGCAGCTCGACGACTCCATCGCCGCCCTCCTCGTCAAGGCCTACGGTGACGTGGACAAGTGGGTCAACGCCGCCGTCGCCGCCGTCCGCACGTGCGAGGCCTCCTTCAGCGTCAAGCCCTCCGTCCTCACCCCGAGGAACGACAACTTCATTAAGCTCTGTCAGAACGCCTTGACCATCGCCCACATTGCTGAAACTGAAAATTAAATTCATCTCATCGATCGTCGTCATCTGTTTGGGGATTTTTCTTTTTTTTTTTAATAATTTTTTTCTTTTTTCTTTTGGTTTGAGTTGAGATCTTCGAGTCCTCGGTCGCTGGGTTTAGGAGAGGGAGATGTGTTTGGGGTTGGGTGAACAGAACTAGAAACAACAAAAAAAAAAAAAAAGGCTATGTTTTGTGTTATGTCATCTCAGATATTCTTTCGTTTTTAATTATGTGTTGTTACGAAAGCTGCAATGATCCATGCGTACTATGCCCATCTCCACTTTATTGTAAATAAAAAGCCTGCAGACTCTATAATCTCATCTTTTTGTTTATTAGCGTCTCATTTTTGTAATTGGATCCCAAAAATTATGTCCTCATCTCAAAAATTTTATAATTTTAGAGAGAAATTCAAAAACAAAATTTTATTTTAAAATATAATGAGTTGTCAAATATTTAATAGTATTAACAAATTCCTCCTTACTAGCGAGGAGTCAAGTTCTGCGAGAAGGTATTCGTATATTAATATTAATTAAATATAGTATTTGTACAAAAATGATGATTAAAGATTCAAAAACTAATAAATAATCTAATGAATCAATTTTATCTATTGCATGACAAAAATATATGTTTTATACATTATTTTATAATTTTTTTAGTACCACTGGAAGAAGAATGTTATAGTTTTGAAGAGAAGGATAATAGAATGGAGTTGAGAGAGTACTTCGTCCTCTATCTAATGTTTTAATCTGTACTCTACCAATATTTTCAATTGAAGTTGACAAGATATATATCAATATGGGCGTATTTCTATAAAATATTATAACTATTTTTAAGTTTAAAAATACTTAGTCCACGTGCTTTCATTGAACTAACAGCTCTACTTTAATTTACAATAATTTAGTCAATGTACTTTCAAATTGGTTGGTCCTTGAACCTTAATATATAACAATTTAGTTCATGTAGTTTAAAGTTTGTAACGAAATTAATTCCTTTCATAAAATCTTTTGTAAAGTTTTTTTATAACGAACATGTATGATGCACATAAAATTTCATAGTTTTATTAAAAAGCATTTAAAATATAAAATTTAATTAAATAGTTAAAATATTAAATACAATTTGGTCATTTTCTCTCTCCCTATTGACCTCATCAACATTTTTAAATTTTTTTTCTTTATATCTAACGCAAAAGTGACCTTGCAATAAATCTTAACACGTATCTATGATAGAAATGGACAAATCTTTTTTAAATTCAAAATTTTATCATATTAGACATTTGGAAGGTTATAAGTTTTAATTTAAATGAAAACAGCAGTATTAAATTTTTTAAGGTATGCACGCCTTAGTTATCTTATTAAATTTTACGGTTTTTTTGAGTTTTTTGAAATTTTAAAGTTAAATTAAAAGTAAATTTTACTTTGTTTTTTAGAAGAAGAGGTAAAATTTACTATTAAAATAATGCAATACCCATTATACTTTTTATTGACAATATTTAATATGTTATTACTTTAATTTATAGTCTTATTTAGAGGAACATTTTATACTCTATTTATATAGAATGATCAAATTCAAACAATTTAGATAAATTTCACCAAGAAGAGATAAGATTTCGTAAGTTTTTTAAAAGATCAATGTTATAATTTTCAAGACCACAGTGTTGTTGGTTTTTCCCAATGTGACAGGAATAATATGATTTGTTATTATA